ATATTATTATGTTGTACTGGGGGTACATTGTGACATTTATAAAAATTCTTACAATATATACTATTTGAATTCACCCCTTTCATCATTCTCCTAATCCTCCCCTCCCCCATTCCTAGAATAGTTTCAACATATCTCATTTTTCCATTTTCATACAAAAGTATACAGTTTTCCCCTTTGTCTTGAAGCTCCCCCTTAAACCATAGAGAAAAGTCCAAATCCTTTTCCATAAACGAACTTTCAGATGTTTAAAGAGAATGTTCATGACATTCCCACCCCTGCTGCAGAAATCATCTGTCTTTGTAATTGATCCTATTGCAGCCTGCTCCCCTGAGCATCTCTACTTTGTCAACACCTCTTTTTGGGGTTTACCTCTCTTTGTGTCTGACTTGCTCACAAACTCACATGACCCATGGGGAATTACTTCCATGGTTCTCCTTATGCCATCCCACTTCTCAAAGCCTCAGTTTCCTATCAGTAAAATGAAAAGAACATTCCTTAATCTGGGATGGTCTTCAGGGCCCCACGAATGCCCTGAGATTGTATGTGGTGTTTCGTATGTCAGAGCCTATGCTAATTTGGGGAGAGAAGAGCTATAGATTTTTTTCATCTCATTCTCAAAGGGGGTGCATGAGTCACAAGAAGATAAAAACCATTGAACTAAATTATCTCTGAGGTCCTTTAAGCTCTAACATTATATAAGTCAGAGGTCCTAAGACAAACAACATTTTTTATTCCCCTGAGATGAAGTTAAAGACCAAGTATTACTATGCCTGTTACTCAGTGACAATGAAGAGATAGAATCTGACAGACCCCAGATAGCAAGTAACAGCAATTGAAAAGGTTATAGCTAAACCTTTTCTGTCTCATGAAGTAAACTGCCTCCTCTGAACTGGAAATGTTCCAGCAGGAGTTGAATTATCATCTCAATAGGATGTTATGTAAGGAATTATTAAAATCTCTTGTGAGTTAAACATTCAGTGAAACCTACGTTGCAGGTCTATGCTCATGCTTCTTTCCTCTGTTTGGAACAAAACTTCCCTCACTTCACTCCTCTATCCTTTTGACATTCCTCATGTGGAGCCTTTTTCTGTGTCTGTTTAATTAGTGGCTGCCCCCTCTTCCCCCTACCCCGCACATTCCCTCATGCTCTACTTTAACATTCACCACATCTGGAACTCCCTGTCTTCAGGAGTATATGGATCGCATTACCCCACTTGATCATCAGTTCCTGAAGAGCAGGGACTGTGTATTATACATCTACATGGCTTCATATGAAGATTTCTTCAGAGATTCACAGATCTTAGAGCATTTGGTGTATAGTAAGAATTCAGTAAATGAATGCTCATTAAACTGCCCTGCAGTGGATCTCAGACCTTACACAACTCATTCATCACTCTAGGCCTTAAGTTTCCTCACCCATCAGATAGAGGCTTGGACCAGATACTTTCTTGGATCTCTTTCCATTTTAATACTTTGAATCCCAGCAAGTGTAGCACTTTAACTTGTTTCCCTCCTCAGGTAACAAACACGCTGTGTCACGCATCCTCATAATGTACTGTAGCGCTTACACATTTGTGCATGTGCTTTTCCAGCTCCCTGCATGCTCATCATGCACATGTCAGATTGCCATTTGACAGGCTCGTGATGAGAAGAGCAAAGAGCCTCACACCTTTAATATCCTCGAACATGAGACGATGACGCTCTTAACCCTTTAGACACAAGCTGCTTACAAGTCTTGGCCCTGCAAGACTCAGAGGACTTTGGGAAGAGCTAATATTCATACTGGCAGTTAGATTTTGTTATTTGTGCCACCTGAGATTATTAGGGAAAAATCCAGCAATTTTATATCCTGATGATTACATTGTTTCTCGTAATTCTGCTTACTTTTACCAAAATGAAAAATTACCCCCCCTTTAAATTTCCTTCATCAAAGAAGTCTCCAGAAGACAGAGCTCCCTTGCATTCTGGACATACTCATCACTTTAAAAGCCTGTTATCCCCTGTTTGTCATGTGGCTGCTTTTATTGGAGACTTGAAAGGGCTGCAGTAACAAAGGTCTGCAGGGACTGACTACAGAATAGCTTCTTGGGATTAAGGAGAGTTGTATGGTTTCCTAAAAAACAGAAATGATTGCTCAAATAACAAAGTCTGATTATCACCGTGGAGTCCCTGTTAATGGCATTGGAACATGTAGAGCCAATCTACACAGCTACACACGTGTGTCTATGCAAAGGGCCAATTCCATTGCCTCAAAGCAGCTCTGCTCGATGTACTGCATGTGGTGCAGTCTAGTTCTCCCTGCCCAAAGCAAGCTGTTAGGTGCCTTAGCACTGCAGCTGCTGATTCCACCTTCTTCTTAAAAGCAGTCTTCTTCCAGACACATCATACTGAATGGTACCTGCTAGCATCCATGTGGAGTCCAGGCGCTGATGGTGACATGCTGTCCAGTTGCCTGTGGACCACAGTGCAACACACACAAGTGCTAGCAGTTGACAAAGATGTAACAAAATCAGAGTCAAATGAAAACATTAGAGCTGAACAGGAGTCAGCACATCCCACCTGGCTATGTCCTTGGTGATGGGACTCCTCAGTGGAAAACTATGAGATAAGCAAGCTTGGGTTCCAGATCAGGGGTTTCTCTGCACAGAAAGACAGACCTTCAGAAGGGGAATTTAAAATGAGTTGAAAAGGTTTTAAATCACAGTGGAGACCAGATATCTGTCTGCTGGGCCTTCCTTATCCTTTGAGACTGACCTAAATAAGCTTTGCTCCTAATTCCATAGTTGAAGAATGTTTGGGAACAGCTTGTGAACTCAGGTTCTCTGCCCCAGCTCATGCTACCGTGTCTGGTGTCCTAGGCCTGTATCTTGTCAGCTTACCCATGGAAAAGCGAGGATGATCATAGTAGATCGTGCAGAAAGTTGGTGTCACTGAGGAAAATCACATTTCTTATCCCACATGGTATAGTCAACAGCTTATATTAGGCATTACTGTTCTCTTAAGCCTTGCTACCTCATGGTATGGTCAAAGGACCAGGAACACCTGTGTCACCTGGGCACTTGTGGAAAATGCAGAACCTGGAGCCCCTCCTCCAGACCTGTTAAACTAAAATCTGTAATTAACAAGATCTGGGCCATTAAAGTTCAGGAGTAGAGGCCTAACATCCTTGTCAATAACCTAAGGGAGGCTTCCTCTGCCCTGGCTCTTGCTCTGTACAGGCTCCCATTTTCACTTTCTCCCACACAATCCTTTCCCTTTGTTCTTTCATCTCCGCCCTCCCTGTCAGGAATTACTGACAAATTTGTCTCCTCCAGAGCAGCCATTTCTTCAGGAGTCTCAGAGCCATTCACCACCTAAGCCATGAAAGTCTTCCCTTGTATCAGCCCTCAGATTTGCCCCCAAGTTATTAAAATGTTTGTCTCAGCAAAGGACAGAAAGAATTAATATAAAGAAAGAACTACTTAGTTTGGAAGCAGAATTGAGAGGAAACTCTGATACCTGCTATTATGATAAAACAACCTCTTTATCTCATTAAAAGAAATCCCAAACTCTGTAGTCTTCTGGTTTCCAAACAAATCCCTAAATCAAGTCAGGATCCTGAGCTACCATACAAGTATTAGAACTGGTCTCTGACAGGAGCATGTTTCACCTGAGGCCATTTGGTAGTCATTGGCAGAAGCAGAACTAGAGAACTTGACTTTCCAGCACAGGGTTCTCTCTACCATGCCCTACTCACTCTACTTCTAAAAGAACTTGTAAGTGGCGAAAAGATTCCCTCCCTGAGTCGTAATTGTGAATTGTCTGAGAAGCAGATGTATATGGGGTATCTGCTGTGTAGCAAAAACACTGATCAAAGATCAGAAGCAGCAAAACAGGATCTGTTTTCCATACTCTGTGCCTTTGCCCAAAATCCTCCTTCCCACTTCTCTGCCTGGCAGAGAAGTGAGGACATCTTTGAGGACCAACAGCTTGGATCTTCTTCATTCCTCCAGACAAAATTGATCACTTCCTCTTCTGTTTAGGCATACTACTGTAACAATTCTTCCACAGTGGGCTAGGTCTCTGTTTAACTAGCTACTACTCCTTTACTACCCCTTCTGGGAAGATGTTTGTCAAGGAAGGATCTGAACTTTCAGTCCTCATTCTGTGTCCTCAGTGTCCAGCAGAAAAGAGACAGAAAATGGGAGTTTTCTCCTCCTCTTTCCCTTGGCACTCCTTACAAATTATTGGCATTGGCCGAACAAGGCCTGCCCTTAGCTCATCACTTCATCCTTCAACTCCTCACACCTTTCTGCTCTGTGCCAGCTTTCTAGGCAACCCTGAACTCATCTGCCTCACCTGCTGCTCTTTCTAGACCTGATCTTTCCTGCCCAGCTCTCTCTCTTCTGTGCTGTTGTTACTCAAGGGCTATCAGCTACTTGTGTATGAGTTTTTGAAAATCGTCCTCTGACTCCTGGGCTTCATCTGCAAAGGGAGAAGGCTTGACTCCTTGGCTTAAGCTCTCAGAGGCAGTATTATAATTTGTAGGTGTGTTTTATGTGTTTTACTCAGTAAAGAGGTGCTCTGCAAGTAATTTTTTCATGTAATCATTTAGGTTTGCAATAGTGTTTTCCAATAAGTAGAATGGATAAGCTTATTCCTGTAATTGTAGTGCTCAGTTGTATTTTGTTGTGCTTTTGGAACAAGAGAAAAAGAGGTGGAGTTTTTGGTAGCTCCAGAAACCACACCCTTGGCAATGTATTGTCGCACTATAAAGCAGCTAGTTGTCTGTCATGTGTGTCTCCATAGTGCAAAGACTGTACTGTAAGATTCCTTTCAGCTCCTTTGAGCTATAAAGCCTGCTATAAAAAGTTGTTTTGATTATATATGAAGAAATGATTTCTGGAAAGTGGCTTTCAAAATCCTTCCTGTGCTGTGCTAGCTCTTCTTAAAATTTCAGGATGCCTGAGGAGGCAGTACTCTTTTAACTTTTTCCTCTTCCTCCTTGGCTTTGCTTCTAGAAAGCGGGAGGAAGAAAACAAGCGAAAGGAGGCAGAACAGCAGAAAGGATGGCTGCGTCCAGATTCCAGCAGACCCCAAGCCCTTCCTTGCCTGCGCAGCCCCAGCAGGCAGAGCAGAGCTCCCAGTCAGCAGCCTCCTGCAGATCGCACAGCCCAGGGCCCTGAGCCCAGAGACAGCAGAGGGTCTCCAGGCAGTTTCCCAGCGAGAGCCCCCCGGAGGGAGCAACATGTTTCCCCAGACCTCCAGAGAACAGAGTCCAGAAAGTCAAAGGGTAGGTGTTGTCTCTGTGAGCCACGACTGCGGCTCTTTTCCCTGGTCTATTTCAACCATTTACATTTCAGGCAGTTACTATGTTGCACTAACCCTGCCATTCTGTGATGGTTTTGTTTGTTCATTTGCTTGGCTTTTTTGTTTCTTGCCATCCTATGGGTTACCAGAACTTTTTTTTTTTTTTTTTAGGATTCTATCTTGATTTGTAGTGTCTTTGAGTGTGTTTCTTTTCTATAGTTTTGTTGTAGTGGTGGTTAAATGATATGATTATCTCAAAAACTTCATGAGTTTCCTGTGAAGGATTCATTCCATGTTCCAAAAAGTGGCATCCATAATTATTTTCAAACAGATTTCTCACAGTTTGAGCAGCTCAGACCTAGAATTTGTTTTGTTTAGCTGAGAGGGCCTACTATGCACCATCTTTAAATATTATTGAGGTTCTAATGAAGGGATGTATACCCATACTCTCGATTTGATCTTTACCCTAAGGCCAGTTCTCACTATGAGACTCTCGCTGTCTGGAAAGAAAAAAATGCAAAACTCAGAAGATCCTGGGATCTTCATATTTCCTCTGAATTCTACTTCCAAACTGAGCAGTTCATTCTTTCTTTCTGTCCACCTTGTCATCTGCAGCTTGATATTTTCTTCCACCAGTTAATCTCCTGCGCCTCATCTCAGGTCATTAGGTGACAGTTTTGCTGGTTATTCTGCCAAATAAAAAGGTTCACCTTTCTCCAGACTCCAATAGTAATTTTTTCTCTGCTCTCCCAGGCTTCACTCAATCTCTATTGCCCTCCCAGCTTCTGCTCACCAACTAGTCCCGAAGTCAATGCCCAGTTTTTCTGTTAAGTCAGCACCTCTCATTTTTAGGTATCAATTTCTGTGTTGACTATCTGTTGTGCCTTAACAAGCCACCCAAAACTAAATGGCTTAAAATAAGAACAATGTGTTATTTCTCACAATTCTGTGGGTTAGCTGAACTAGCTGGGTCCCCTGGGCTTGCTCATTTGCTAATAGAGGGCTGACTGGCTGAAAGCCCAAGATAGCCTCTTTCATATACTGGGAAGGTGCTGGCTGATGGCTGAGGTGCCTCCTTCTCTTCTCTGAGGCCCTTCACTCTCCAGTCTGTTAGACCATCTTCCTTACGTGTTGTTCTCAGAGTATGGTTCAAGAAAAGGCAGGAGCTGCAAGGCTTCCTGAGGCCTTACGTCACATTCTGCTTCAGAGCAAGTCACACCACCAGCCCAGATCCAAGGGAATTAAGAGGCAGGCTTCACCTCTGCGTGGAGGATATGCCAAAATCACATTACAAAGGCATACACAATGAGGATAGGAAGAATCTTTGGCCATTAAATAGTCTCTCGTAAGAGGAAATGTTTTTCTTACTTCTCTGTCCCTAGCACCTCAAATAAAGGGTATCTGACTCAAAAAATGAAGTAAATATTTGTTGAATTGATAGCTGGGTGGTACTAACTAGGTGTTAGAAATTGGGGATGAAAGACAGATCATTAAGCATAAGACCAAAAAAGAAAAGCATAAGACAAAAAGTATTTATTGGGTATGCTCATGTTTTCCTCAACAGAATCCCATTTTTGTGACAAGAAATTTGCTTCTGCTCAACTCAGTAAGTCACTAATGCATGTATTCTTGTAGTAGATGTGTTTCTGAGCCCATGCTGTGTGCCAGCTGTACTGAATTATCAGTTGAAGCTAGGGATCGTACCATCAAGCTTCTTTCCCCCTTTGCCCTCTACCCCAAGAATTACACTTAATTAACTTCAGGTGAACAATGCTCTTTCCCCTGATCAATGCTCTACAGGACAGAGGCAGGGGAAGGACAGTAATTTCAGACTTCTCACAAGTACACAGGGTAGCGGTGGTTGTGTTAGCCTTATTATAAAATACCTGCAACCATTACATTGCAAGGCCAATCGGATCTGCTGTGGACCTGATCACATTCTGATAGGATGGCCCCAGGTCCTGAAGAATTCAAGCTGTTTCAGTTTCTAATAACTGCTCCTCTTGTTCTTTAATTACACTGCTACTGGTTAGACTTCTGTGACACGCTCGAGTGCATGGCTTTGCAATGATTTTTAAACCATGGGTGACTCATGAAGTTAGTGGATTGGACCAGTCTACAGTATTTTCTATTGTAATCCATTCCAATAGGAGGAATAGAAAATACCAAAGAACACTGCATATTATAAGGATACAAATTTATACCTATGTACATACATGAATGGAGGTGAGTATGTATGTGAATGTGTATGTTGCATATGCATGCACATGAGTACATTGGGCCGCAATCTAAGATTAATTTCTTGCTATAAATCATTGTCAAAAAATTTCTAAAGTTATTGTTCTAGTACAACTCTGAGGCAGAGGAGCTCTCACTCAGTTGAGGGCAATAAATGGTGCCCAAATAAGTGACTTTTGTTTGTAAATATGCAAACAGGATCTCAGAAAAGACTTTGGAGAACAGCTAAAGGACAGGAGGCTGATGAGACCAATTCAGATATAAAAACAGGGAGCTCATTTCATGGGCAGCTGTTACTCTCATTCACCAGCCTTAGAGCCCATACTACAAAGGAAGATAAGGAGACACTTCTAGAATCAGGATTGACCATTGCCCACTGCCTCTCTAGGATGGTATTCTCAGGAAACCCCCACATCATTGGGCAAAGGACACCATCACTCGCATTGTTTGGCCACATAAGGGTCATAGCTGCTTCAACTGACTAGGTCTCAAGCATTGTACACCCAAGTGGCAGGCATCCCAGCAAAACCCAGATATGGGAAATACTGACCACCCACCCCACCTGCCATCCTGTCTCATAGACATGATGAATGCTGGAGCGTGAAGGTCTGTGTCCATAGTTTCTTAGCAAGTGGTTTCTTTCTTCTCTCTGAGTTAACTGCACAGAACTGCAGTGTGTGTTGGCTAAATGCACAAGCTTTGGAATCACACAGCCTGGGTTCACATTTAAACTCTGCCGCTCACTGGATGTAACTGTTGGTAAATTACCTCTACAGCCCTCAGTTTCTTTCTTTGTAAAAAAGAGATGATAATGCCTACCTTAGAAAATAGTAATCACCAATGAGATAGCTATGTAAAGACTGAAGCACAGTGCCTAAAGCTGTGAATGGGCGCTACTCTTACCATTAACCTCATTATTTCAAATGAGGAGCTGGAAGGAGACATAATCTTCAGAAGGATTGCTGTGGCTGAGTGGAGGATGGATTTGAGGAACCAGAGAGTGAAGTGAGCCAGTAGCAGCATATCATATGCATTCATTCTGTCTTGGATAGGTTGAGTTTTGAGAAGATTTGGAGACATGCAAGTGAGAACCTAAATGTATGTAACTGAATATACATAATTGGAATGAGAGAGAAGCTGGGAAGTCTTTGGCGTGCAGGTATAGGGGAACTTGCTGCCTCGGCCAGACCTGCCTAGGCACCACCAGCTACACCCACCAGCTCTAACAGTCCACCTGGTGAGAATGAGACAGCACCCTTACAACAGTGAGTTCCTCCTTCGACTCTCCTGGAAACCACATGGACTCAGACAACTTCCTCTCACCACCTTGCATAAGCAATCTGTTACCAAGTCACCTCAGTTTGACTCTCAAGACCATCCCCTAGTATCTTTCAAAGTGACTATTGCATTTTGCATTCTCAGCAGCAATACATCAAAGTTGCTGTGGTTATAGTTTTCTTCCTATTTCAGTAAAACGTTGCTATGCTTTGTATTCTGTCTCTATTGTTTTTCATGCTGTCTTTAGGGTTTTCACCATTCTAATAAATATACAGTAGTACCTCTTTCATTTCTAGTTTATGCTTTCTGTATTTCTTTTGCATAAATGAGATGTGCGTATTTTATATATCCCCTTTCTTCCATGAAAAGTAGCATTACTTATTCCTTTGCACTTAATAGTCTGTTTCTGAAAACACATCTGAGTATCTTGTGTTTTATTATTCATTCTTTCTCTTCCTTCTTCTTCTGTCTCTGTCTCTTTCTCTGTCTTTCTCACCCATCTTATCTTCTCATGTATTTTTGTTGAGAACTTAACATTGAATGTAAAAATTGTAGAAGGGTGATAGAGCACCTACCTAGCAGTACCATCAAAAAAATTAGAGAGATAACTTGAGGCCTACCTAGCATGATATGAATCTCTTCAGGATAGGATTTACATTGGCTTCTGTCAGTTAAAGGTACTGGCAACCATCACCTCAATCCAGTTCCCAGAACTGAGATGATGCAAAGCCGGCCACTCTTCTACCAGCTCACCTTGTCTCCTATAGAATAGCCTCACAGGTACCAATTCAAAGGAATGCTTCCTAGCAGGTTCTCATCCCAGACCTTGGGATATGTAGCTCCAAAAGCCTTGCTCATCAGTCTGGTTAACAGAATGCCCTGGATCTTGGTTCTTTCTTTCTGGTTGTTAGCTCCTCAATACCTTCATACAGATTGTTTGTGATATTATGTTCACAATTTCTCTTTTCCTCAGCTTGTCTCAATGCTCCCATTACAAAAGCTTTTCACATTGCTTTTCAAATTGGGGCTGAGTTTTCTGTTTTATGTGTTATATGCAGTACTTTTTCAAATGTATCTATTCTCTTCTTGCATTTTAAATGTCTTTTGTGTGTTGAGTCGGGGAGGGTGTGTGCTAGGGTTTTGGGATATTAATCTTACTATGTGTTCATTAATTGCTGCTCAGAGTAAACTGTGTACTTGTGCCTGCAAGGCTGTTTTTTTTTTTGTACTTAACACAATGATATTTAATAATGTCATCTGTTGTCCACTCCACCATTACTTCCTGCCTAGACAGTAGCTGAATCAGCTTGTGTACTCGTTGCTCTTTCAGTTTTCTCAGATTTCCTGTGTTTTTGTGAAGGCATGATGGTACTTTTAAAAGAATGTTCATGCTGTTTTAGTCAGCATTTCTAGGTACTGGTAGGATGAAAGATTTTGGGTTCTCTAACCTATATCACATTGCTAGAAAGAGAAGTTGAACAGTTTTTTCCTGGTCATGAGTCATGATTGCCACTATCATAATGATGTAACAGGACAAGTCTGAATATTTTATGTGAACAAGTGAGCAGAATTACCCTGCTCTCCAAGTTTTAGACAATAAATATTCTTTCTCATTTTATCTGTCTCCCCAAGAAACATCCAGGGAACATTCTAAAGGCTGCTCTGCCTGTGTCCTCACCAAACCCAGTGAAGGCAGTGATGCAAACAGGTGTCGGGGAGTCTCCTCTCTGGAGAAGTGCAAAGGTGAGACAGCTGGTGAGCAGCAGAGTGAGAAGGGGAAAAGCATGGAGAAGCAGCCCTCTTCTGCCGGGGTGGCTAGGCCTCATGAAAGAGGCGAGGACCGCAGTCGTGTAGCTGCAAGCCTTAAACAGCAGGACAGCCACTGGAAGCCCGGCAGACGACATGACTCAGCACTCAAGGCCAGATGTGTTCCCCAGAAAAGGCATGGTCAAGAGCTCAGAGGAAGGTGCTCCCCAGCAGGGTCCAGCCGGCCTGGCACAGCCAGGGGGGAGGTAGTCCATGCTGGGCAGAATCCTCTCCACCATCGCATACCAAGAAGCAAGGTGACATTGACACAGAAGCCCCCAGAAGGGGTCTATTCAGATTTGCCACAGAGCACAGAAGAGATAAGGTCAGGATCCAGGAAGCTGGGGACATGTCCTATGTCTGAGGACAGTCAGGTATCTAAGGAGACTGATCCAGCATCTGGGCCCCTTTCTGGGAAAAGTATGAATATTGACCTTCTCCCTGTAGAGCTCCGCCTGCAGATAATCCAGAGGGAAAGAAGCAGGAAGGAGCTGTTCCGCAGAAAGAACCGGGCAGCTGCGGTCATCCAGCATGCCTGGCGAAGGTAGGACCATGTGGTGCTGCAGCAGCTCCAGTTCTTTGGTTGCTCTGGGTGCCCCTTACTTAACACCTTCTGTGCTCTCTGATGTTTTCCCAGTGAAGTTCAAGTGGTGGCAGAACAGGACAATTTTATGGAGCCTACCCCATGCCTTCGTGTCCCTTCCTGTTTGTACAAGTTTTTTAAATTTTTATTTATTGGGAGTACTAGGGTTTGAATGCAGGGCCTCACAGTTGCTAAGACAGGTGCTCTACCACTTGAGCCACACAGCCAGGCCTTTGTCTGTCCAAGATCATGTGCCCTGGCCCTCCAAGGAGATCATCACGACAGAGATCAGTGGTCCCTGACAAGCAAACCATTCAGAAGAAAGATGGCTTGTCACTGTGGTGATCTAGCACACACAAGGGCCTTTCCTTGCATTGTTAGTGAAGTGAGTTTTGGCTACGGTCCTGATCATGACAGTCGAGGCAGCCTCCTTCTCTGTATCTGAAAGTGGGCTAGCGAAAGGCAGCCCACTAGATGGTGCTCACATGCTGAGATAATAGGGCCAGGACAGGGGTGGCATTATTACTTCCATTGTTAACACTCAGAGTTAGCATTTGTTGTGCTAACTCTGGGAGGCAGGAACTCTTATCCACATTCCACAGAATCTGAAGCACAAGGCAGCTAACCACCGGACCATTACAGAGCTAGTAGGTGCCAGTGCTGCCTCTGAGCCAAGATAGTAGTCTCCCCCGATGCCACAGATGGGAGTGGCCATTTCTCCCCTGCTTGCAAACATCTGCCAGGACATACATTGTTAAAGTTTTGGCTGAAAACTTAACAAGCCAGTAAGGCTTACCTGGCCGAGCCCCACAGCTGCTCCTTAACTGAAATGTCTCCCTCTCAGATTGTCTGCTCTTTAGACTCCTTTGAAGAACCAGAAACTGACAGGTCCTGTCAGTAAGTGTCCAGAGTCACAAATGAGCCTTCAATCATTCCCAACAGTGGGCTCACAGCTGGGTGTCCATCTGGGAAGCCCCCTCTGGCTGCAGCACTGTGCAATTCTGAGGTCAGGGGACATGGACTCCCAAAGGGTTTCAGAAATGCCACACATTGTGGAATGCCACACCTGGTGTTATGGTATGATAAACAACTTTATTGATTCTGTTATAGTATGACTATATTCTCCTTTTTAATAACAGGAGCCCTGGTGCCATCCTACAACAGTGTGTCTAACACTAAACCTAAGTGAGGGGTGGGGTAGAATACAGGACTCAGCACCTATGTGCTCAAAAAATTTAGGCTACCTTTTCAGGGGATATGTGGAGAATGAAGAGAGAGCAGGAAAACGGACAGGGATGGGGTGAGCAGGTTGAACCTTAGGCTCAAGAAAGTGAAACTTAGTTTTAAAATTAAGTGCAAGCTTTATTACCAGTTAAGACTTGACTATTTTGAAAATTAAAACCGAAAACCGGAAAATCTAAGTGGGAAAGGAGCTGTGTAAAACACTACTTTTACCCTAACATGGTGGGCTACTTTCCTGTCAGCTCTTTTCCAGCATATTGTAAGATGATTAAGCAAGGATGTGCTATACAGTAAGAAGAGCCCTGAGCCCCTGGTGAAAGGCACTACTGAACATGCTAGGATTCTCCACAAAGCAGCAGTGTATGTTCTTGAAAATGGGAAAATGGTGGGGGTTGGGCGGGGGGAGGTTCCTTCATGCGAACTCAGTTTCCCTACCCAAGGTGATCGGGTGGAAGCTGGCCCATTGAAGCTCCCAACATCTCCAGCCAATATCTGGGCTTTACCCAACAAGCGCAGAGGGCAGGGAAGAACACTGACATCTCGAGCTGGAAACAGCATTGCCCCTCTACCTTAGCTTTTCTCTAAGGCTGGCGTTTTGGAAAGGTGGTTCATATTCCAGTGGAGGGATACCATGGGTTGTCACTCATTGGGAAAAGGAGGAATCATGTAGGTTGACTGAAGTCAGCCTTTGGGGACGGAGGAAGGGGCTGCACCAAGCTCTTAAAGAGTCGACTTAGGAAGACGATTTCCATTTGGTGTGTTGAAAACAAGCACAGGGCCTTTCCTCTGTGTAGCTTCTCTAAGCTCACCAATAGTTAATCAATTGACATATAATGAACACGGATGCAGCTCGCCTTTTAAAGGGTTCAAAATAGTGTTTGATAAGTTTGGGGTAAGAACCCATCAAATAAACACTACTTGGCATCATAGCTCTTCCCTTCCCTTACTCCAAGCCATCCTGCAGCAAAATGATCTCACCTTTTCCACCATCCTTAAAATCTTCTGTGGGTCCCCATCATGTGTGGGATAGACCAAAATCCTTAGCAGTGTGTGGCTGTTGGGCCAGAGAACACTAGTTTCAATGATGGTTTCTCCAGCACTCACAGTCAGCCTCACACAGACTCAATCATAGGAGGATGCCTGGAATACAGCAGAACTTAAACAAAGTTGACTCCTTCCAGCACAGGCCAGCCTCACGTGCTCCTTCCCTCACCAATTACGTGGTTCTCCAACCATATTACATTACTTTTCTTGCATAAATGTGTGCATCTCAGCCCATTCTGTTGCCTAAAATACCCTTTGTGCCTGGTAGACGCCTACTCATTCTTTAAAACAGCTCAGCCCTGGAAAGCCTAGCAGAGCACTGTCTTGTCTGTCCTGCATCTGTTCCTGTGCACCCAGCTACTGGCTCTTGTGCCACACACTTCACACTGCATGTATTGGTTCCACCTCAGCCTGTCTCACAAACCTCTGGGTCCCTGAGGGCCAAGTCTCATCTGATTGAATCCTAGTTCAGAAGTACTTCATGAAAAACTCAGCATTCAACATGCTGCCTCTGAAATTAGGAATGGGAGTACAAATGAACTTCCCAGGAGTTACAAGGTAACTCCGATACCTTGTAGGAACCTGAAGGAAATTTGGTTTTCTCAAAACTGTGACCTTAAAGTCTCTCTTCTCCTCTGACTCCACCAGCTACCAGCTTAGGAAGCACCTGTCGCACCTTCTGAGTATCAAGCAACTTGGAGCAGGAGATGTACTCAGATGGAAGCAAGTGTGCACGGCACTGCTCCTTCAGGTTTGGAGGAAGGAACTGGAACTTAAGCTCCCAAAGGCCATCGCAGTAAACAGGATGCCCAAGAGTCCATCCAAAGGCACCCTAGGCACAAAGCCCACCAAGCACTCAGTGCTCAAGCAAATCTACGGTAAATGTTCTTCTGATTGCCACCTCCGAATCTGAAATAGGACTTCACACACAAAAAAAAGCTTTCTTTAATCTATTTCTAAAGAACAGGAGAGTTTTCAGCACCAAATTTAATGCCTCCCTTTCATCAATTCTGAATCAGAATTGGTTTCATGAGGCATTCTAGCATCTCAGCCCAGACAGCGTTCTAGCCAAGCAGCAAGATTCCCCACTGGGCACCAAGGCTGAATCTCACTGTTAAGACCTCTCCAGCCCTTGGCTTGGTTGTCCCTGCCTTACACTACCTACTTGGATAACTCTTGATTCAGACCCTGCCTGCCTTTGACCTTTTGTATAAGACTAGGGTTGCTCACCTGTGGGAATGCCCAAGACCCAATCATTACAGTAAATATAGCAGATGAATCAATATAAACTGAAATATTTTCAGTTTTGGATAGCCCATCCAAACTCAGCAGAGAACAAGTCTGGCAAAAAAAGAAAAACTCAGCAAAGCACCTTTAGGGTGATTTCCTGCAGTTTAGGTAGCAAAATCTTAGGACTTTGCCCTGACCTACATGTTACACGTTGAGCACACCTAAATGCCAAAAAAACTTTCAGACTTTGGAGTATTTTAGCTTTTGAACTTCTGGATTAGCAATGATCAACCAGTAAAGCCTACACAAATATCCCCAAATCCAAAAGTTCCAAATCAGTTATTTCAGGGAGTATCCCAAGGGCTACTCAACCTGTATTTCTAAACCACGTCTAATTTATCTCAGCAAACACACCTGCAAGTTCAAGCCCTCATCTCAAAAGAAATTCAGAACTTGGTCAGGCCACAGCTGCCATTGGTCAAAGATAGATGGTTGTTGTTGATTGATTTCAGGTTGTTCTCAAGAAGGGAAAATACATCATTCCACAAGACCTTCAAAAGCCCCTGCTGTATTGCGTCTCAATTCAGGTAAGGCAGCCGGCACTGCATTGGCAATGCAGATGGGGAAGGGTTTTGTTTCATTCTGAAATGTAGACCATAGAACATAGATGGACCATGGTTTTCCCATGCTCATTGACTTGAAGTATGCATGTTTTTTATCCCCCTTTCATGGAATTATTACTGCAGTCAACATCTGTCACCATAAACAGCAACTTATTTTCACAACTAGAAGTTATTACCTTTACCTCCAGTAGAAACCATAAAATGGTAGCTTTGATCACTTTTACATTCTTGGTTCCATAAGGAAATGAAAATGCTTTCTTTAAAGGAATGTGTTGGAAATCCTTGTCTCATTTTGGTGTTGTCTTACCAAAGATGGAAGGGTACCACAGACAATGCTGACAGCACGTTCTGCTCAGGTCAGGCTCATCAGCACACTTTCACTCGCAGGAGCGGCTCAGGAAACTCTCTTCAGCCCCAAGACATGTGAATTTTACTTGGGGCCTCTTCCCTTACACCAGCATTCAAAGTGGATAAGTTCAAGGCTGTCAGCAGCTAATGCCAGGTCCAGTGTAGCTCACAGGTGGCTATGGCAACATACTCCCCCACCCTCCCTAGTCCACATCGTCATCCTGAAGGAACAGAGAGCAGCTGGGAAGGTGAACAATGACTGTCAGCATGAACTTTTAACATTCATTTAGTTTTTGATGGGGGAAAACCCTGGAGTGGGGGCAGAGTAATTACTGCCAAATCTTTTTAAAGAGTTGGATAACTGACCTAATGTAAGCAGGATGATCAGGAGTGGTGGATAGGGTAGTTAGAAACTTTCAAAGGAATCAAGGCTCACAGTTCTGTAAAAAAGACCTTATTTATGTTTACCAAATTAAGTATTTCAAAAACAGAACTGTCAGATATAAGTACCGGAGAAGTGTCATTTAGATAAACATTGGTATGAATCAGATAATTGATTATTTTTCACTGTCTTAAGAGAAAAACAAATCCAGAATTATCAGCAATTCTTAAAAAAAAATGTTTAACAGCATAAAAGGTTTTTAGTGAGAAAACCAAGTAAACAAATTCCAAGAAATACACATAATGGTTTCTTAGGACTTCATATGAACAAGCATCTTATTTTCCCTACAACATATTTCTGACTGGTTTGAAATTAGACAAGGATGAAAGAGTATCCCTAACCCTGAATTTGGGTAAACAGATTTGCTTAGTTCCAACCCCACCCACATTAAGCATCAACCAGGTATTACAACTGGTCAGACAGAACTGCTAGCAGTGGTTTGGCTGAAGTCTATATGTCTTATACAGAAAACAAGTCTCTAAATTTCCATGAAAGAGCAGGCATGGCTTGGATGCACATAGAAGTTTCTGAAATGGGGTGTCAGGCAACAAATTGAACTAAAAAGGAGAGAACATTAATTTTGGACTTCACCTTGAACAAAAAGTTAGTTGTTTTTACCCTAAGAATTCAGTGGGAGTGGGGATTTTCTGACTTTGCTCAGTGTGATACTGTTTTAGAAAACTGGCACACTACAGTCAGTCACATATCCAATGAATGAATATTGCTTCTACCCTTCAACTTGGGGAGATGCTTTCCTAGGGCATCAGAAGTTCCTCTACCACTTAAGAAGGAAACAGGAAGGCAGAAATGGCAAAGTGCAGCCTCCTTGAGCTATTGCTCTACATAGGAGCAACCAGTTTTCTCCAGTCTTCTACACCTGACTACAAAAAAATACCATCATAGGCTTTTATTCACACACACACACACAACGGCACCCATCTCTTTAAAAATGAACTTCCTTTAAAATTCCATCCCAGTGAGTGGAATAACCATGGGTCAAGTGATAATCGTTAGCAGCACCCTTGTATGAGTCCACTATATCTCTGCCAGCTGCAGAGAGGTTTATAACTGACAATTCACTTCAAGATACAGTGAAGGCAGCCAAAAAAACCATGCCCAGTAATTTATTTTAAAGTCAGTTGTTACAGCTATAAAACCAAAAAAGAAAAATTAAGGCATGTTTGTTACTTTAAAAAACTACCCAACATTTCATGTATGCTTTTATCCTCCACAGAAAGTTAGGAGCAAAATACAGCAATACGGCTTCAGCAAGGTCTCCCAGCCATTTGAGGACTCTGTCCTCATTTGGCAGTGTACCACCATTTTCTGTGACATCCTGTAAGTTTTTTTCAAGATCATCATAAGGTCTCAAAAATCCACTTTAAGTTTGAGGTGCCTATTGTTTCATCCTTCATGCTCTGAATACTTTTTAAACAAACGAACTTATTTTCTGGAATAGACTATTGTAAAATGTAGGCACAGAGGGAATAAAAAGATGTGTTATGTGTATATTTAAGTATGTTTTGTGAGGCACATACAGAGAAAAGTATGTTAGTTATTTCAGGCAAACTGAAGACCTAGGTTCCAGTCTCAGTAACTCAAAACACTTGCCCCTTCCCAAACTCGTTTATTCCTTGAAGCGATATCCTGTATCTTTGAGATGAGGAAAAACACAAGAAGACTATGTCATTCTGCACCTAGAGAAAACTGGCTCATTGCTTCACCTGACTCCAGGGATAGCTCAAACCTAAATTCTTTTTCCTTACCAAGGATGTCTTCCTTTCAGCATTAAAATGAGTAACTTGAGTATCTATCTGGTATTTGTTTTTAACAGTGAGCAACTTGCAGTGTATCCATCTCCTTGAGAGCAGTGGAAAATCAAGGAACTTTTCTTACAATCTGCAATCAACTTCTCAATCAAAAAACAAACCAAAGCTTTAACTTTTGACCGCCTGTGAAGACTGAAATCAGTGCACAGTTAAATCTTGAGAAAGCTTTAGTATCCATGCCTAAAAGCTATATTACCATGAACATCTGTTAATTGAAAGAAAATGCCCACATCTCCTCTCTGCTCTTACACAGCACTGTTTTGTAAATCACCTCAGCTGAACTGAAAGGACAGAAGCAAACCATGCTCATGCATACTGCCCAGCTGTGTGACTTCACCTAAGCCAGTATGGCTGGAAATGAGAACTGGTAACAGTAAAGTAAAACAAGAACATGTGTGCTAAAGGGGATATGGGGCTGGAATTTCTTACAGCGGGTTAGCATAGGCTCAACTGAAACCTAAAATCAGCCACCTACATCTCACTCCTTCCTGGGAGTCAACGGCAACATATGTGACAGATGCCACATCCTCAACCTTATCAGTTTTAAATTTAGGTAAGAGTCATGGCCCACCGTTTGCATTTAGAAACTGTCTGTAGGCCTGTAAGCACTCTGTTGATTACTTACGTTTTTCGGTTCCCATGTTAACCTTGCAAGGCCACAGGTTGCAGCCATGTCCTTGCTGATGGCATTCTCACTACTAAGCAGAACCAGCAGAGTCACAGGATGGAGGAATCAGTCAGGTAGGGTTTACATTCATGCAAAAAGGTGCCAACTCAGGTCTCAACATCCCCCTTGTATTTTATGACCAACTCACAGAGGTGAGCAGTTTTCTCAAAGTGCCCTTCCTCTTGGCAGGGAAACTACAGATTTTTGAGTCTGTAAGAATACCTAGCTTAAGTGAAATACAGTGACTATGGGCCCTTTCACATTTAAGGATAAGGCTGCTGTGGAAATAAAAGGCATAAACAACATCACATCATGCTCACATGGATTTTTAGGCTTACTTCTGTTTTTTTCTTAGCAGTGTCATTCCTGTGCTAATAAAGTATTTACCTAATTTAATTGCCTTACTTTTAGTTTAACAGTTATCATATCCATAATTATGAAAACACAAAGGGGGCTAACCTAGATGGGATCACAAAGATTCAGCTGATTTGCTGATAATTAAGAGTAGAGACCATAGTATCACTCCCTATTGTGTAAATATTTAGATCCTATAAAATGCAAAATGCACCACTATCCATAACCATGTGTCGTGTACTAGTCCAGGAAAACAGCCTGAGCTTCAGTGGGAGGATTCAAGTGTTGATTTACTACTTCAGTGCAAAGGAAGGGTCATAAACAACTTTTTCAAAAGTTTAGCTTTAATGACAACTATTACCTCAGTCTCTCTTCAAAATAAGACAGATGCGAATAAACAATTTCACACAAGAGGTACACCACAGTGCGTCTTCAATACACTGTACTCAATGCACTGGGCCCCTGGGGATGCCCAGTAATATATACACTGAAGCAGTAATGTAGGTCTGTGAGCCACTGCTCCTGAACACTGCCACTCTTCAAAGTCTGTAGAGAAAAACAAGGATAATGTAAGAATTGTACCAAAATCACCATGCCACCTGACAGTAATTTTCACAACAAAACATGATTTGGGAAGGTTGGGGGTGGGGGTTACTGGGGTGTGAACTTGGGACCTCACGCTTGCTAGGCAGGTACTGGGTACTGTGTTGGGCACTTTCAAGATAGGGTCTCGTGAACTATTTGCCCAGGCTGGCTTTGAACCATGATCCTGATCTCTGTCTCCCAAGTAGCTAGGATTACAGGTGTTAGCCCGAAACATGATTTTTCAAAGCCCATGCAACAGTACTGCCATGTATAAATCACCACAGGCAGTCTGCCCAGAAAAAAGGGAACTATTCATTAGGCATTGCCATAGGAAGTGCAAATTCCTAGTTATGTCCATAAGTGTGACCAGTTTCTTGTTTCCTCCTGCATGTGCTGGAGGCTAATGAAATTTCACCATCAACCATCCTTATTCTCCTGATCCCCACCTCCTTGGTATTCTAGTATCTCATGATCTTTGCACTAATAACAACTGAGAGTAGTTCCACAGGGTCGACTGAACTTCTGTCTCTTTACTGAAGTAGGCAGACTGTCTAATCTGGGAATAATCATCCAAATTCTTGACTTTTCTTCCCCTCTACTATTTCTGAATTATTCCACTGCCACACTGTCCATTCTTTCTACAAACGCTACTGGGAAAATTCAGAATGAGTGTGTGTGTGTGTGTGTGTGTGTGTGTGTGTAGGCTCTATTACTCAAAGGTATGACTATAGATGTCAATGAATAAACAACCTAAACACCTCTTTTACCTCCTAAACCAAAAGCACAAAAGGAATCCTAGAGAACAAACTTGGCTCCCAAAATAGTCCTGCTGACTGCAGAAAGCTCCAAACTTCCTTCTTTTGATTTTCTCTTAGTAGTCAATGATTTAAGCATTAGAAATTGCCTGGAAATGATTCTTGCTCAATAGTTCCCTTAATGATAGCCAACGTTTATTTAGGTAGCACTTTTAATAAACGTTAAACACTTTAACTTGAATAATTTCCTTTAATGGTCACTAAACCCAAAAGGCATGCAAAAAAAAGGGCATTATTTTACAGAGAGAAAAATAAGCTTGTATAGATAAGAGGGGGGGAACCCCAAAACTTGCCAAGTTATCACAATTAATAGTTTGTACCAATTCAGGTAAGAATGACTCTGATACCAATTTTTAACAACTACACTGCCTGGTACCACCTTCATTCTGTTTGAGTATTTTAAAGCTTTTAAAACTTGTTCTAGAACCAAATACAACCCTATGGTTAAGTCACAGCCAAGTGCTGCACAGCAGGGGAAGCCCCAAGAAATTACCACGTTGGTCTTAATTCCAGAAACCAGTCCATGCATAGGAACCCTACCCTCTCAAAAGCACCCCTGCTCCTCCCATGAGCCCGCGCCTGTACTGACAGTACAAAACAGTTGGTACCCTGCTTCTTACTGTGATATTCTTGATGATCTGCTGCACCAAGATGGCATTAGTTAGCATGTGAGGCCTTAGGGGTGCATGCTGAAGCAGCAGGCGGAGCATCTGGCCTACAACAGGCAGCTCCTCAGACCCAACTCTGTTCACCCGCAGGCTTTGCAGCATCAACCTGAGTACTCGTGGAAAGAGGGCCAGGATGGAGACACAGGCCCCCCATAGCTTGTCCCTATAATAATGGAGACAGAAATGAGTAAGTTGACACATAAAGGGTTGAGTGTCACATCCACATTCCCCAAAACTGAAATGGCCTTTTAAAACATGTAGCATTTTTTGGTAAAATTTCACAAACCATAATTAATAAAAATTGGGTTTTATTAAAATTAAAGTAAATCTCCCCATTTTTACAGAAGCCTAGCAACCAGCACTTTCTTGGGCTTATTAACAAGACCTCCTTAAAAGTTCTAGTGACAATTTGTTAACACAGAACTAGCCAGAGAACAGAATTATGTATACATGCAGACCTACAAATGCACACCCATTATCCAACATTGGATTCTACTCAATGATTATTCAACATAAAAGATATCCAAAGAGTAAGAATATTCCACTGAAGAAATTCATGAAACTTTAAGCCTATAAACTGGGTTCTAAGCCTATTCAACATGTTACAATGACAGATTTGAAAAGAGAGGCAGGCAGGAGGCAAAATGGATTTCAGAAAATAGCCAATAGGGGACCATTACTGCAACACTAGGTCACTGGAGGCCAGAAATGGTAAATCTAAATGTTCATAAACATCATTCTCTTAGTATTTTTACAAAGGAGAAAAAGATGTTTACAGTAGAGATGGATGAAGCTGTAGCCACACTCTAGAAGACTGTCAATTAAATGGACCAACATCCATTTGGAGGGAAGAGTCCAGGGACTGCTAAAGGGTTCACTCTTAGTTTGCTGCAGTTTCTGTACTATGAACATACAGCCCACCCAAATCTCCAGATCTTTCTAAGAGAACCTGATTACCTCTAAGTCTAGTCAGAGTAGCCTTTTCACAGTATGACAAACTTCCCTAATTCCACATATAGCAAGTACATGTGAGATGGATAAGGAATCCATTCTAGGCCAACCAGACTCTTCTTTTTAGGGTCTTTATTCAGCCTGTTGTCTTATGGATGCAGAGCCAGACTGGGGATAACCATGTGCAAGGAGAAAGCCAGGATGTAGACATAGCTAATAATGAGGTGAAGGCATAGACATAAAGACTATATGATCTAGGTTAAAAAGAAAAGCATAAGCTATTTTGGTTCCTTCTGGACTTTTAATTTTTAGCACTTGGGTTTTTATAAGTTACTCCTGTAATGGTCCAATACACAGTTAATATGGCACTTAACGATGGGGACCTAAGAACTGTATAATTAGGCCATTTCGTTATTGTGCAAACATCCTAGTGTATTAATTTACACAACCCTAGGAAGTATGGGACAATCACTGAGCAATGTCTGGCATATTTTTTTTATAAAGTAAGTAGAAATAGTATACTCACTCTGAATGATTAACATATAATAAATATATATATCAGAAATAGTTATTTATTATTAGTATCAAGTATTACATATTATCAGGGAGCTAAGACAGGAAGACCACAAGAATAAGGCCAGACCAGGCTACAAAATGAGATTCTATCTCAAACAACCAATAAATAAATAGCATTACATATATAATTATATGTGCTATTCTTTTATTTAACTAGCAGCACAGGTTTGCTTATACCAGCATCACCACAAATGTAAGTCATGTGTTGTACCATGACACTATGGTGGCCACAGTATCACTAGATAATAAGAATTTTTTGCCTCCATTATACTCTTATGAGACCACATGACCACCACTGCATATGTGATCCTCACTGACCACTTCCTTTTTGTTAGTTTGAGTAACTTTCAAATAATCAATCATACATGGCTGAAAGGCCAACGTGTCAGAAACTATGACAGAATTCACACAACGGAGTACAAAACTTGATGTGGGAATTTAGGGTCAGAATCTTCAATCGTCAACAGTGTTAGAAGTGTGTTTCAGGCCTCAACTGTGACAGGCAGCAAGCTTGACCTGGGTTCTCTGCATAGAATGGAAAGTCAAGAAAATGCAAATGTGAAGGTATCCCATAGAGGGGTCTCCATAAACCTCCAGAACTCCCACAAAAGACACACTTAGAGAAAAGATATACAACTCAAGACATGAGTTTGTTTAGACCTATGAAAGACAACCTCTAGAACACTCTTGCTCTCCAATGCACCAGAAGATAAACAACTGAAAGAACCTTTAGAGTAACACCAGTAACTATGAGCAAGCAAAAATGACAAAGTGCCAAGTAAAAGTCCCTTCCTATATTTAAAAGTAGTTTTTGGAAGAAATGAGTAGAAACAATAGGGGAAGATAAGAGAGTGACTGAAAACTTTCCAGAGTAAAAGAAAAACCGGACTCTTCTGAGTAAAGGAGGATACTAACTAACTATACAGCAGATAAATAACAATCATACAGGACACATCCTGATTTGCAACTTAAGAAAAGATAGAACAAATTCTTAAGATTAGTACCTACAAACTAAGAAACTTCAGAGTAACAGTAGGTTGTTCTTTAATAAGGAAGAGCAGAGAAGACAACAGAATAGTATCTTCAAGATTCAGTGGACATAATTCTGAACAACTTCAATTGGTCAAGTATGATTTTTGGTCAGTTACTAGGTTGCTAGTGATTGGGCACTTTTACCACTTGTGATCTTACAATTACCTTCTTCAGCGGTAAAGGAGTAACTTAAAAAGTGTATTAGGTTCTGGCTGCCAAAACTGCCTTCCAACTAATGCCACCCTGAGAGATGTACAATGTACAGGGTCTTGGCAATATCAACTTTACCAATATCCAATTTTAAACTGGGCACACTCAACAGGGAAACAGGTATTATACATTGAATTTTGTTCAGTACAGCCAAAAAAGTCAAAGCAGGATGTTCCTCTATTTAAAAACAAACAAACAAAAAAACCCATAAGCTTGAAGTCTGTAATTTGGAAACTTAGGTTGAAGAGTTTAATAAAAGGGCTCATATTTCAAGTGACAGGAAATGACAAAAGAGCAATATACACAGTTCATAAATGGAGATCTTATAAAATCTTTAGAACTCTAAGAAGTTCCAATTTATAAAGCTTTATTCTTGATCAGGCATACTTGATGATGTGTTAGAAAAATACCATCAAAGCTATGTTCGTTATGTTTAATTTCATAGTGTATTTACAGTAAAATACCTAACATTTTATATACACTCTTACTAGAAAAACAAATCTAAGTATAGACAATAAAAAAGTTACAATACATTCATAAAACAGAATACTGTAGAGCAGCCAGAAAACTATGGCCCAGAGCCAAACCCTGCCCAAAGCCTATGTTTATAAACAAAGTTTTACTGGAACACAGCCAAATTCATTTATTTACATATCGTCTATTGCTGCTTTCATGCTACTACAGGGGTGTTGAGCTATGACAGAAAGCTTATGGCCCACACCAAACAAAAGCTGGCCTAGGTATACAGAATAAAAGTAAATGAAACACAGCTAAATGAATCACCATGAACGAACCTCACAGATGATATTGAGAGAATGAATCAAATCATAAAAAATATATACAAAGTAATTCTTGTGAAGTTCACAAAAATGGTATTGTTTACAAATACATGCAGCATTTTTTAAAAGTTAAGTTGCAAGACAAAAGTGGGCAGGGTGGGGTGTAGAAGAGAAATCTAACTGTGGAGGGTACATAAAGAATGTGTGTACTCCCCACTCAGCACAACAATTAAAAAGAAAAAACGTGTGTGCTGATGATGGTCTATTTCTGAAACTGAGGACAGGTTACATGAATGTTTAGTTTATAATTACTTTTAAACTATTAAACATGCTATACAATCAGTATGTATACATTTTCATGGCATTTAAAAGCTCAAAAACAGGGTTAGGCATGGTGGTACATGCTTGTAATCCTGCACGGAGGCAGGAGGACTGAGAGGTACACCAATAAGAATATAAACATAAAAACACGGTTTTAAAACTGGAGTGGAAGCTTCCAAACCATTCTAGGAGCTCTAGTGAAAATATTACAAAGCACAAAAGTATTCACTAATTAAAATCACTGGAATCTTAGAACAAGTTTCTTAAATCCAAGAATTTAAAATTCTACTCTAACTCTAAGGACACCTGAAAACCAAACAGAGGTTTGTACTAACAGCCCAGTCTCTTAACAGTAGAATTTTTGTCTTGCTAGTCCTATCGCAATGTTAATAAGGGAAAGCTCTCAAGACACTTTATAATTCCATCTAACTTTTCAAATTTGTAGTTTAAAGGAAATCCATAAAACTAACAATTCTCACCATAACAACAGGATTATAAGGAAAAAGCCAGCAAAATTTATACAAACTCAGAGTTTACAGTATTTCTGAAATCTAATTCCCTTTTACTTTTATTTATTATTTATTTGGGGGAGAAGGGGAACAAAAGAAAAAAATGTTGAAAAATAAACTATTACCTCTTTTTTAGATGTTCTGCTTCCCCTTTCTCTAGAGTAAGCAGAAAGTAAAGAACACTGTAGCAACAAGAAGCCAGAAATGGCAGCAGAGTTTCACTAACTACACACGTATGATCCAGGAGCTTACAAATAACATCAAAAATACAGCCAGCTGTGCTGTCAGGTATTACAGTCAACCCAACCTGAGTGGAGAAAAATTAGATTAATTACCTCTTCACAAAAGCCTCCTCCCCCAAATAAAACCCAAACCTGTTAACTGGAGAGTTAACTATACATAACATCTACTTAAAGATAGCATATACATGACACATTCCAGCTACCATACTTAAAGGTCCTATTTTCCTGAGAATTTAATTCCCAAATTAAATGACTATGAAAATATGCCAACTAAAGATATTTTCTTTGTGACACTGGGGAATAACTCCAGGGCCTCATAAGTGCTAGATAAGTGCTCTACCACTGAGTTACATTCCACCCAAAAAAAAAAAAAAAAAAAAAAAAAAACTATTAATACACCCTCTGTCTTCTATTCATGACCAGGTCTAATATTTTCCAGATGTTACAATTTCTACCACTGGTCAGAAATAAAACTGTTTAAAGACTGTTGAATGCATCCAAAGAAAATCTTAACACCAATAATCACATTTTAAAGTTTTTATACTATTTAATCAAGAAAACTCTGATAAATGGTTACCACCTCCATTCCAGATAAATGTAGAACTCATTTTACATTTAGCCTTCCCCTGCCCTTTGATTTATTAAATCAGATACAAATAAGGAAAATACCTATACTGGAATGTATAGGAGATGTTACTGTATTTAACACTTGACTGGAAGGCCAGATAAGGGTCATTATCATAAATTCATCAACTAGACTACACTGACTACACTGACATTAAGGTGAAGTCTAACTTGGAACTATGCATAAATACAGTTTGTATCTCTTGAAAAAACTACTGATGAATAATCATTGAAAAAAGTCTGCAACCTCTAAGGTCTTAACCTCCTCCACCAGGCTGTCTGAACATGGTGGCCAAGACTGGTTGGCATATTGATCTTTTACTAATGTACATAGTCAAAGGAGTGCATAAATCTCTGAGGTGGACAGGAAAAAAAACCCAAAAAGGTAGACACCTCTAAAGAGTTGGAAGTTTGATAGCAGGAAGAAGAGTCCTAGGAATTCAAAGTATTTTCTAAAACTCAAGAAACAGCATTTTAAAGAAGAAAAAAGGGGTTATAGATGTGCCTATAAAATTATCTAGAGACAAAATTTGAAAGTTCTCCCTTCACTGTAATTCAAAAAGCCAAAGACCAAAGCATAAACACTGGAGGAAGTTAAAAGCAACAGAAGCATACCTAATGTGAATTTAATACCAATGAAAACAAGAGACACCCAATGGTTAGAAGACAAGTCATTCTCATTAAACCTACGGCTTCCAGTGATTAAACCTTGTGATGTCCCTAATTTGGACTCCAAAACATTTAGGTAGAACCTAGGCTCCAGACTATATGCTGGATTCTCAATGCACTGACAACAGGTATCTATGAATTAACAAGAACATTTCAAGTCAGAAGGGATCTGAAGTATGTAACTTTAGGATCCCTCATTTCACAGATCTATAAAGTACCATTCTAGGAAAATAAGGGATTTTTCCCAAGTCCACAAAATAATTAGTTAACAGCCAGGAAAAACACCCAAGATTTTTCAGTTCTTACTACCACATCATACAGTGAGAAGCTGTGGTACTGTTAAGCTGAGAAGCCCAGACACTCCCCATGGCTATGGCAAGCTTAATCTTAACTAATGAATCTATATTTTAATTTTTAAGAGAAAAAATTTTAAGGATATTTACCAAATGCTTACTGATGGCACTTTGCAGGATGTCAAAGGTCTGACTTCGGGCAGGGATAACCATTAAACTGTGACAAACTGCCTGTCAGAAAAGGAGAAAACCAATAACCAAATCATGACATTTTTGTTAAGAAGCAAGTTCAACAGATTTTTTTTTTAAAACCTACTCACTTTACATAGCCATAGGAAGCAGGTTAACTATGAAGATGCAAAGGTCAAAGATCAAACAGCCAGATACCATATATACGGTAATCAAATCTATTAAATACTTACTGAGAATTGAGCTAGAGCATGTGTCATGTACAGGAATGAGAGAATGAGAAACTCTTCTCACACCACAGTATTTCTACCAAGGAACTGCTACTACTACAGAAAGACCTCAACAATATAAACAAAGGGCTGACAAAGCCTCCTTGACATTCTGTGCGAATAAATGCATCACAGGAAAATACTAATACAGGCTGAGTATCCCTTACCAAAAATGCTTCGGACCAAAAATTTCCAGATTTTGGACTATTTGCATAGACTTTACCAGCTGAATATCTATAATCCCAAAATCTCAAATATTAAATATTTGAGACTTTTTGAAAGTCATGCTGGGGCTTAACAAGTTTCAGATTTCAGAGCATTTTATTTAGACTTAAATTTTTTTTTTTAAATCAAAGATGCTGATGGCCCTTTGCAGACTTATCCTTCTCCATTTAATCATAACCTTCTCCTCCTATTCCCCAAAGGTAAAAGGAAGAGAAACCTATAGGAAATGGAGAATGTGTGTATGGGCAGGGGGGGATTAGAGTGAAATTCCTAACATTTTTTAATTTTTAAGTTCAAAAGAAACCAGGAAATCAAGGACAGTACCAAGTCCTTCCATAAACAACAGTCATTACACACAACCTCCAGAGTCTTATAGAAATATAGTACCAAAAGTAAAACATGTCAAAAAACTGCATGGAGAAACAGACCCCTATAAGGTGGTATATCACTCTAGGAAGAGACTGGTTAAACTAAGTTCAAGATAACTGTCAATCAACCCTTAAAAATCAGGATTTCTTTCTTTGTGAGGAGATGAGAGTTCTTTCTTTTGTTTTTTATTTTGGGTGCAGGGCAACAGAGCCCAGGACCTCACTTTACTACTGACCTATACTCCCTCACCCTATTTATGTTATTAATGGATTTTTTTAGAGTACGAAAAATCAATAGCTCTATATAGCATTTCTTTACAAAATTTTAATTGATACTATCCATAAATTTAAATGGCATTTTTAAATCAATGGGAAAAAAACATTTTCAATGCCATCTTTCTACTTCAAAAGTAAGCATAGTGAATGCTGTCATTAATAAAATGTAAATCACATTTGCAAAGTGCTCACTAAATAATTATTGATCACTTCATCTTTTCCCTTTGTGAACAATTCAATTTTAAAGTCAATGGGGGGTGGGGCCAAGCTAGGTAAACTCTAGCCCAGAATGGACAGGAGAGTTAAGTGGCCCAGAACAGATTATCCATGGAAAGAGGCAGACTGCTCCTAAAAGCCAAGCCAGAGTCTAATGGAGTGAAGAAAGAAGGGTAGCAGTAAAGAGACTGAACTAAGACAGGATGATCAAGTTACTATAACCTCTTCCTTCATTTGCAAATGACAAAAGGAAAACATCTGAATTCTCCCAAGTATCTTAGCTAAAAAGTTGCACGTGCTTCTATAACCATAACAATCTGATCTCCCCTGAGGATTTACAAGTCACCATATGGAACCTGGCAGATAAAGAAAAACTGAAAGCCTAAAACATGTAATTTCAAGACCCAGGGGCTAAGATTAAAGTAGGCAAGTATAGAGTAGCCAAAACCCACCTTATATTTGGTAAAGGTTAAATATTAAAATGACAAAAATCTAAACAGACTTTTGAAGTTTTATCTTTTATCTACAATGTATTAATTTTTAAACAGAAGATAATACTGACATCGAGAAGAATTCTTGTCACTTTTCCATGTATATGCTGACTGAAAGAGGCCATGTTGCTACACAAAAAGCAGCACAGATTTTCTATGCAAAGATCTTATGCATATCTGGAAATGGTACTTTTGACTCCATAAATCATAACTCCATTCAAAGACTTATCTATGCTATAATAACTGACAGACCAAGAATAAGTCTCAACTCCTAGAGAAACACTCAAAACGTAATAAGAATGAGAACAAAGATTTGAACTAACTGTACTGAGCTCTACAGAAAGTGATACACAAGCTGTCTCTTGAAGAATGAAAAAGAATTTACTAGCTTTGGCAGGGAAACTAATTCTCAGCCACAAAAACTGAAAACTGAAAGATATTTAAGACAATATATAATTTACAGAGAAATATACAGTAGTAGGTAAAAACAGGCAAAGTTTCAGAGGTTCAGGTTTCCTTGCTCAGTGAGGAGTTTATACTTGATCTTGTAGAAGAGTTATTCAACTGGTATGCTGACCTAAATGGGCGACTGATTGCTAAGATACGGAACTCAGGGTGGGGAACCTGTACTTATTTGCCACTAGGTACAAGCAGCCACTCCTATTTCTTACAAATGTCACTTCTAGCTATGGAACAGCGAGAACCAGACTTGCAACCCCAAGAAGAAAACTACACAAATAAAGAAAATGAATGTTTTCAAACATTAGGCAGTGGACAACAAAAGGCTATGACATTTGAAAAAAAGAAAATCCATTGCAAACCCAGTCTTGGTTTTCTACTGAAGGCCCTCTATGGACTACAGTGCAGGTAGCGGCAACCAGCAAAGTGTGGCAGGCTCCCTAACAGATGACAGACAAGAAGACACTGAGAGAGCTATAACAGCTGGAATCTACATAGCAAAGTATTCCAGGCATACTGCTGAATACAAAGGCTATACATGCACAAGGTGAGACTCCAGAGGCCCAGCAAAGAACAAACAGGAGCTGTGAAATGAACAATTCCTAAAACTCAAACAGGCCGGAGAGGTGACCATTTTGACCAGCAGAATGGAGGGTCTTCACAGAACACCCAATTTATCCAAAATATATTCAGAAGAGAATATACAGTAGAACCAAATATGCCCTACTATATCAGCAAACTGTCCTGCAAAGAGCCAGACAGGAAGCATTTGTTTTGTTTTGTTTTATTCATATGTGCATACAATGTTTGGGTCATTTCTCCCCCCTGCCCCCACCCCCTCCTTTACCACCTACTCTCCCCCTCCCTCTCCCTCTCACCCCCTCAATACCCGGCAGAAACTACTTTGCCCTTATCTCTAATTTTGTTGAAGGAGAATACAAGCAATAATAGGAAGGAACAAGGGTTTTTGCTAGTTGAGATAAGGATAGCTATACAGGGAATTGACTCACATTGATTTCCTGTGCATGTGTGTTATCTTCTAGGTTCTTTTTTTTTTTTTCCACATTTCATTCAGTTTTAAGTGGAACCTCAGTTCTCAAAGGCCCTTGCTCAACACTTTACAAGTCACCATTACACAAAGGGGACTGGGGGCCACATCTGAAGGAGTGGTGCTGAAACTAAGCCTGAGGCAACACTGTGGATCACACTGGAGGCCAGCCCGCCCACAGTACCTCCCCAGTGCCACCCATCTGCCTCCTCCCAGGCCACCAGGCACAGGGGCTCCAGAAGCAGAGCCAGGAGACTCCAACCCACTTTAAGACAGGACAGGATCCCAGGCAGAAGGTCCTAGCCTCAGTCAGGGATCACAGTTGAACTTTCTGTTAGGGAATTTTCCTTTCCAGTGCAACCCCTAAATTGCCTAAGACTTGGTTTGGTCTTAAGGTAAAATAAAACTACAACTACACACTGTTTTGCCCATGATGACGTGAAAATGCATGTTGACAGCCTGGTCCACTGATTGTTCGTCCTTGAAAGTAATAAATCCAAAACCTACCCAACGACAAAGAGTGAATCAAGGTAGCAGGGTGTTGTGACACAAAACAGGATGATGAACAGTATTAAGGGCGGACCAAGGGATTGAGCCCAGGTTTCAGCTAAGCCCTGTGTGCAGAAGCTGTGGCCTGGGTTGGGCTCTGATAGAGACTGCATGGACTAATGTCCCGCCCTCCCCTCACTGCTGACTGAGGTCTCTGACCAACACCTGCTGGTGGTGGCTCTGAGTTAGGGACACATGCAGAACCAGGGAACTCATCTTTTAGAGATCAGCAGCCTAGGCGCAACTGGTGAGGCTTCTAGGCATCACCACACATCCAAGGCCTGGGCTGCATTATTCTGGCTCTCGCCTTGAAGACAAGCCTGAGCGCCCTTGTGAGAGGGGAGCCTTTGTGAAGAACCAGCTCAGCCAGGGTGTGCATGTGGATGCATTTCTGCTCTTCTGAAAACCAGGTTCTCCCCCTTGGCTTGCAATTTGCTTTGCAGCTAGTGCTGACAGCAGCCATACATCATTCTAAAGTGTTAACAAAGTACAGTTTCTATCACAGTGAGCACCTCGCTAAGCTTATCCAACACTGTGGGGTAAGCCCAAGCTATTGGAGATAATAAAAAAAACCTATGTTTATACGCATATATGTATACAGATAAATAAACAGGTAATACACAAAGATACAGGCCACAATGGGTTCCTGCAGGTCAAATTCTGCTGTCAGCAGCAAGAGCAAGAGGCACCATGTAATCAAAAAAGACAATTTTAAAGGAAAAAAAAAATTTAGCATTTCCCAAACACAAGAAAGTGGCAGTATAAACGAAGTTTGGTTGGTCTGGGGTAAGTGCAGCCACCCAGCTAAGGGGTGTGTCCTGTCCTTTACAGGCAGGAGTAACCAAAGCTTCCACCCTCCCGGCCTGCGCACAATGAGACATGGACACACTGGCCTCTAAGGTCACTCCACGAACACTAGCACCACCCAATGGTCTGACGCTCAGGCACAAAGAAGTGACAGCTGACTGCTGCCTGAAGACATCAGAAATAAGTTGGAGGAGGGAAGGACTAGGAAGAGCAGAGAAATGATTTGAGAATGGGTGTTATCCACGCTAGGCCTGCAATGGAGCAGGTCTCCAAAGCATCACACAGTAAAGGAACAGTGCAAAGTAGGCACAACCTCGCATAGGAACAGAGGCAG